GCAGAGGATGCAGGGGTGCGAGGGACAAGGACACGGGGGCAGCCAGCCCCGTCTATGCTCTGCCTGCTCTCTCTCAGCGTCACCCCTCCGCGCATGCTCCCCCGTCGCCCCTCCTGCAGGTAGCAGCCCCTGGTCTCTCCTGAGTGCTGCCCACCTTGTCGTACCAGCGGGCCTGACCCTGAGGCCGCCCTGCCTAACACCCTTCCGGCTCACCCCCTGCCCACATTGGCCCTGCAGACCCCTGCCCCCTCCTCTGCAGGCCAGGGAGCGGTACACCCCAACCCTCACCTCTCTCTGCCGCCCTACTGTGCAGGTTTGGAAGGACTGGCTGGTCCCCGTGAACCCAGAAATCTGCCTGGCCGCTGGGGCACTCCGGGGGGAGGTGGTGTGTGAACTGGGCCTCGAGGGAGCTGGGCCCCTGCTTCCTGCAGGGCCAGGTCAGGCATCGGACAGACTGAACCCTGGCGAAGAGCCGGGGCAGGGGACGGACCTTTGCTGCGCGAGGCCGGGGCAGGAGCCAGCTCACGTCTGCCCTGACGTCCTGTCCGAGGCCTTGCAGGAGCGGAGCCCGGAGCAGCCGGCATCTTCCTCCACTTTGATCTTGAACCCGCCTGCCCAAACCCGCCCCTGCCTTGTCCTGGGACACAGGCCAGTGACGGAAGCAAGGAGAGCCCAGCTGTGGGCACCCTTCTCCCCACGGGCGGCTGCTCTCTGACAGGAGGCGGCGGGGGGTTGGGGGTGGGGTGAAGGCACAGGGGGTGGCCAGACCCAGACACCGTGGAACTGCCGGCTCACACGGTTCAGTCCGCTTTGCTTTCCTAGTCTCAGGCTCAAGTCGCCTCTTCCAGGCAGCCTTCCTTGCTTAATCCCTTCGTCCCTAACACGCACTTGGTTTAAGCATTTTGTTTCCTTGGTAAATGGGGGTATTTGGTGTCAGCCGGGTTGGGGGGTGTCCCCTGGTGGTGAGGACCCCTCTACGACATTCTAGAGACTTGCTTGCTTGCCCATGACCACTGATAATGAAAATAATAAGGATTCCTTTTTTTAAATGCCATTTATCAAACACTGTGCTAAGTGCTTCGTATTCAATGACCTCATTTAATCTTGGCAACAAGCATGTGAGGTGGGCCTTGTTGCAAATGGGGAAACTGAGGCTGAGGGAACTGGGGGAATTTGGGGAGCTTGCCTCTAGCCCTGAAGGAAAAACGGAGCCCCACGCCTGCCTGGCTCCCAGGCCCGTGTCGGCACCTGGGCACCTGAATCTCCCTGCCCCTTCTCTTTCGCCCCCCGCCCCTCACCGCCCCGCCCAGGCCCAGCCTCCTGCTCCTTTTTCTGCCTTTTTTACTTT